GTGCAGGATAAAGCAAGAACAATGAGCAGAGGGTGACTGCCTCGTTAGTTGGGGGCTACACAGAAGGGAATTTTTTCCCAGAGTCATTTATCTTCCCAAAAATATGGCCTAGAGCATAAACCCATGTCTGGGCAGGACTGTAAATCAGATGGACCCATCCCCAAGGGCATGCTTGGCCAAGTAGTGCCAGTGTGGAAGGAAGGAGAGCTCCTTTCTGCTCAGGGGCTGGTGGCAGCAGTCTTTTCTGCAGGGGAACTGGAGGTTCCACATCATGGGCTGGGTTTTTCTGAATAGCTTATGCTTGTTCTGCAGTTCAGGAACGTAAGCATAGCACTGAAAATCTCTCTGCAGCCTCCACTTGTCCTGAAATGAGGTAAAGCAGGTGGAAACAGTTGTTGCTGGATCAGGTCCCAGGTCCTAAAAGTCGTGTTCTGGATGGACCACCTTCACCAGAGCCCAGCCTTTGTCTTGAGGCATTTCACTTCCCAGCAGCTTACACAGCCCCTCCTCTCTTTCTTCCCTAGTTTCCAAGAGCTCCAAACCAGGATGCATTTACCTGTGGAGCTGGAGCCGGTCCTTTGACGCCAAGGGGAAGGGATGCCAGCGGACAGTGTCTGCAGTTATCCTGGCTGAGCTGGAGTGGTCCACGACAGACATGTCCTACCTGACACTCAGCACCTGCCCAGGTAGGCAGCACTGGTCCCCAGGGCAAGGTGTGCTTTGCCCAGGTGTGTGGGGCTCCCCTTTGCCCCATCAGAGGCAGAGGCCTGGATTTCATAGCCCACCAGAGAACGTCAGGGCTCCCCCCTGCAAGCACTGCAGTGCAGCTCCAGCACTGCGCAGCCTCAGCCTGGCACCAGCTGGGTATAAATAATACAAGTGATAAATAATTGCAGCTGTACCATCTGCCCTGCAAGGGGGTTCAGCCGAGGCTCCATGGTCTTTCTTGTACAGGTTTTCAAAGCACAGAGCTGAGGGCTGGGCCCTGTAGCCTTGGTGGAGCCATTCTGATGCTGAGTGCATCTGAAGCCAGGGGCAGGGATGCCACACACCGGGCAGCTGGCTCTGTAGGCTGGCAAGGAACAGACAAACCTCACCTGGTCATCACTTTCCAAAACCAGTCTAAAAAAAAGTCAGAAGAAATCCCAAAGTATTTAGCACTACTTTTTCCACGCTAAAGTAAGATAGCTGACTTATCTTTTAGTGAATTGAGTTCTTTCAGAGCAACGTGGATTTGTAGTTTTGTGCTGGAAAGGGAATTTTGCTGAAATATGGCACCTTCCCTTGGGACCCTACAGCAGTGCCTGGAGCTCTGCTTTGCAGCAGAACAGACTCCCAGTTCCACAGTAGTTTTCCAGCTTTTTCTTCTGCTCTCACAGCAAAAAGCTACGTGTTCTGTGGTGATGAGAAGGGCAGCGTGTGGATGTACAACCTCTCCAGCTACACCACGGCCTGGGGCTCTCCAAAGGGAAAGCGCTCGGAGCGGAGGATCTCTCCTGCACAGGTACCCTTTGGGGTATCAGGTACCCTTTGGGGCCTCCCTTCCACCCCAGGGCTGCTAATCCCAGTCTCCCGAGGAGGTTTATCCCAGAACATGCCTCATGTTTCCACACCTGACACTCACAGGCAATTAAAAGCAGTCTCCAGAGCTGACCATGGCACTCACAGCCGGGACAGGAATCACGAGCTGCAAAGCAAGTCTGTCAGCTCCTGCATGGTGCAGCTGGGCAGCTCTTCCTAGAAGGGCCCTAAAGTTCTGGTGGTTAAACTGGAGAGCCCCACAACACAAAGAGTGCAGGCACCATGTCCCTGAGGGGCTGAGGGGAGGGAATCCAGAGCAGGGAAGGGCTCACTGCTTTCCTGTGTTCACGTACCCTTTTCCTAGTCGATATTTCCCTGGCCTCTGGAGACAGTTCTCCTTTAGGCAATCACTGTTCCCTTGCATGAAGCCTCTGAAAGGACAATCACACACACACTCAAAGGCTCTCACTCACTGGTCTGGAGCTACACTGGATATAGGTATGAAGGGACTCAATGTTCCATAATTTCTTCACTGAAAGGGTTGTTAAAACACTGCAATGAACTACCCAGGGAGGTGTTGGAGTCCCCATCCCTGGAGGTGCTCAAGGAACAACTGGATATGCACTCAGTGCTCTGGTCTGGTTGCCAAGGTGGTGATGGGTTAAAGATCAGACTCTGTGATCTTGGAGGTCTTTTCCAAGCCAAGTGATTCTATGATTCCATAAGGTTTTGGGAATTGTATTGCCAACACCTTTTTCCTTCCCGCTCAAGCCGCTCCGCACTAAACCCTGGCCCTTCAGGAACATCCCAAAGCTTTACCACACCTCAGACAGGGGGAAGAGCCTCTGACTCAGCTTCCCCAGAAGAGACCCCGCTGTGCTGAACATCCTCCCCCTCAGACACCGCCACCCCAGCGCCCTCTGTTCTCCCCACAGATCCTCCAGTGGCCGGAGCTGCGCGTGAACGGGGAGCAGCCCCCCGAGATCCTGGTGAACAACGTGGTGTCAGACCCTGCCTTCACCTACCTTGTTGTCCTGACCAGTGTGAACATCACAGCCATCTGGAAGAAGTCATAGTCCCCTGTGCCAGTCTCACCCCCGTGATTTGAACTAGTGCAGTATTAGTGACTGTTACCCATGTGCCCATGAACGTTTTCTAGACCAGCCATGATGTGCAAGATTAAATGAAATAACAAAGGTAAGGGTTTGTTAAACTCATTAAAATCGTTGTAAACATCCGGTTTCTTTAACTGTAAGTTTTCACAATTTGTGCATTTGTTTTATAGAAATGGCACTTAATAAAACAAAATACCAGTTCACTTGGCAGTGCCTGGAGTTTCTGACAGGAGAAGCAGAGAGTTCATCTGCTGCTGTCACTGAGCAGCTTCTCATGCTGGAATTATACCCACAATAACCTCCCCAACAGCCCAGGACAAATATTTGCCTTAAGGCTCCAATCAGAAAAGTAAAAAAATCACTTTAATGACTTATCTGTCATATCCAACAAGACATTTATCCTCTTGGCAAAGTGCCTGTCTGGTATTACAAAAAAACCAAACAAACGAACTCAAAATATCACTGCTGCTGTCAAATACTAAACAGAAGTGGGACAAGGGGGGGAATATTTGGCATGAATGGAGGTTTAAATATATCACCTAACTAAGAGACACATCACTCTGCCTCAGAAGCACAGTCTCCTCCACAGGGGGTGGATTTTACTCAATTCCTTCTTGTTTGTCCTTAATAGCAACCTGTAAAAGCACAAACAAAAACACAAGAGCTGTTACTGAGCTGGAAGAGGTGTTTAAACATCCCTGACTTTTCTGAGATACA